ACCATACACACTGCCCATTTTTTTTTTTTTTTTTTTTCTTTTTTTTTTTTTTTTTTTTTTTTTTTTTTTTTGGTGAGCCTAATTTATTTTTGTACCTTTCTACTATTTAGACCTGGGGCTTCTGCACTGTTGTTAGCTGAACTGCCAAGAGTTTTGTCTCTCCTGGGAACACTGGGTACAGAGCAGAAAACCCAGCTTTATTCTTGAAAACTTCCCTACAAAGCTCTTTATACTGCTTGCATTCTGAGTGGATTTGTCAAATATAAGAACCTGCTAACACCTTTGGAAATGCTAAACTTTGAAAAACATCCCAGTTTAGCCTGTTTGTTGTTATTCATGCATCATATTTTCTATCCTCTTACAATTTATTGCTAGTAGTGTTTGCATGGACACAGGATATTTTTTCTTCAGCAGTTCTTAAGAGAAGATACAAAACTTTTTTCTTCTTTGTCAACATAGCTGCTCCTTTGTGGATTTGAGTACCACTGTTTAAGCTTTAGTGACTGAAATACTGTCTTGCCATGTTTGCTTCCAGATGGATGCAATATCAGGGCCTGACCAAGATGAAATCCTGGGGAGAGAATGACTAAGTTTTAAATAGGGCTTAGTTGCAGTACCAGAGTCTGCTCCTGATGATGCATTTTCATGTTCATGGCAGATAAAAATTAGACAAGTGGTGGAAGGCTTTGCTGTTTGTTACCTTTCAAGACAGTGTACTATAATAATCCATGTATTAAAATAATCCATCTTGATTGCCATATCTCTGCTTGAGTTGGCCACTGTGAACATTTTCTCTTTATTTAAAGTGGAAACAAAACTGGTCTAAAAGTCACAAAGACACATGACATTTTGTGAGAAGCCTTTTGAATTTCTCCTGTCTCATTTTAACTGGTCACTGTTAGGTGTTGTGAAGCAGCAGCTATATTATCTTCAGTGTTACCCTTGGGGACCTCCAGAGGCAGAATTATGGCTTCAAATTTTAAAATAGATTTGTTTCTAAGCAGAAATCTGGCTGCCTTTATTCAAATACCATTAGTAGTTTAAAATGTGGAGAAGCCCCCCAGAAAATTACTTGGTATAAGAAATTTGTTCCATGTTTGTTACATGTGGTCATTTGTTCTTTAATGAGACTTTCTTTTCCTCCCTCCTCTCCATGTTTCTTATTTTAAGATCAAATGAGACGAGAGAACTCAGTGCTGTGATCTAATTCCTCAGATGATAATAATAATAACAATAATAATAACAGTGATCGGGGGCTTAATATTAGCATATAAAGAGAAAAAAATTACAAATGTATGTTTCTGTTTGGGGGAGGGGAAAATATTAAATAATTTGCAAAGTTTCATTTTGTTTGCCCCAAAAAAGTGCATTTTTGTGGAATAGTTTTATTTCTGCAAATGAAACATTTAATGGAGAACAGCATTCTCTGGAAAACCAACTGGATTCAGATAGTATCTCTCCTTGTTCCACGAATTAAGTGCTTTATAGCCTTTTTGTTTAAAAATGTGTCCTTAAAACCATGCTGATAATGGGCTACCACTGATTGAAAATCTACCACTGGAATGTGAGCAGGATGCAAGAGTCAGATGATTGATTTATTGGTGGACTACATGGGCATTTGTTCCACTCCATCATCAAGATGCTGAGGGAATTATTTTGCCAAATAGTTCTTTGCTTATCAGCCGTGACCACTGCTTTTTTTGGTTAACTTCTCTTTCTGCCACTTCCAAGCGAAGCTGGAATTTTTATATTTTTTTAAATGATCCAATTTTTATTCTTTCTCCCTCCTGCCTTCTTCTTTCACTAGGCCCCAATGTTTTCCTGGTCCAGGCTGAGAGATGCTGACCCTGTTCTCCGCTGTGAAATGGCCTCTACTGGAGAGGTATCTTTTAGATTTTCTTTTTTTTTTTTTTTTTTTTTTTTTTTTTTTAAACCAAGTTGACTTTAAACATCATAAATCTTTGAAAGTGATCTTATTACTGCCTGAATCATGATGGCATCTGTTGCTTCTTCAGAAAATTGAAAACAACTTTCTTAGCTGCAAAACCCACAATGTCCTGGAAAACCCAGTTTTTTCAGCCACTGGATGTCCCTGTTTGCCTGCATGTCAGCTCCCTGAGTAGGACCTGGTTGGTGTGATAGCCTGAAATGAGTTTATCTGAGAATTGTTGGGTTCTGGGTGGCTGTTTTATGACTCATGTGCTTCTGAAAAACAGGTGCTGGCAGCTCCCAGGCCCCATGGACTCTTGCTGCAGCAGCGACGTGGAGACCCCTGGGCATGAGTGGCTGGTCTTGGGATGTGCCAGTTGCTCAAAGGCAGCAAAAATGTGTGGTGTTTTCTTGTTGCCTGATAACCATCAAGGCATGTCCTGAGGTGCAAAATGAAAGAAAGCAATAATGAAATGTGGTGGCTGCAGGGACTGTGGGCAGTCCCTGCTCTCTGTGTAGCCAGGCTGTGAGGTGCTGCTGGAATGCCTCCTGGTGTGGTTATGGCATGCTGTGAGGGCACAGGGCTGGGCATCTTCTTGCCCAGGCTCAGCAGCCTCACAAGCGCAGGTTTCCATCCATATCACCTGACTCACGTAGAACAAAAGGTTTCTTTATGAGTTATTGCTGAGCTATCAAGGGCATCCGTAGATATGCCCAAGTGGTCTTTAAATTTTATGTATTCTGTTACTTCTAGAATGAGTTGCAGTAGCAAAATCTTATTCTGGGCCAGAATACCCTCTTGGAAAGTGATAAAACACTGAGGCAATTTGATCAGGCTTAAGCAATTTGATCAGACTTAAGTCTGCTGTACCATCACTAGGCAGGTGGCAGATCCTGGGCTGCTCTGTTGGATGTGAGCTTGGGTATGTCCAAAGGAAACCTTTACCATTTTAGTATAAAAAAGTATTCTACCCAGATACAAAGTAAGAACAGCCTTAGGTCTCCTACATCTCTCCAGAATGACTTTATTTTGCTCTTCACAATATGCTGGAAATCAGTATTGCAGAAGATTTCCTTTCAGTATAATTAATGGGCAGAAAAAAGTCAAGTGACTTCTGTGACTTCCTGATTTTCAGAACAAAATTGAATACAGAGACAACCTTCTCCCCAAAAAAAAAAAAAAAAAAAGAATAAAAATGTAACTAGGGACAAGAATTTTTTTGGGCTTTATACAGAGTTAGAGATTACCATGGCCATAAAGGAGGGATTATTAACTTTTATGAGTTGGAAAGATCCATATTCACAAATGCCATAAAGTGTGACAGTTATGAAAGTCTTTCTTATAGTGAAGTAAGGATAATAACTTGCTTTGGGTAAAAAGCTCAGTTATTCCTCACAGACATTTTTTACACACATGGCTTGATCTGGGCTTGAATTTGTCACATCTGTCTGGCAGAGATTTATTTTGCTGGAAGCCATGGATCCCACAATAGGACAAGACAGTGCTGGGGGTTCCTTTGAGTATTGTGGCTGTGGACCATGCCATAAAGATAAACCTCTCCTGGCAGGCTGGGAGCCTACAAGGGAGAACCTGTCTGTCACCCTAAAAAGTCCAGGAATATAGAACACATAGAAAACATGACTTTTTTTAATCCCTTCCCTTGTGGGATTTTTGTTTGTTTAGTTGGGTTTTTTTTTTTTTTTTTTTTTTTTTTTTTTTTTTTTTTTTTTACTTCAGTAGATCTGGCAAATCATAATTTATTTTTCGTGAAATACTGGTTTCTGCTCACCATGGTGAGACCATGAATGTGAGGGCTCACTCTGAGATGGGAAGGACCATAAGAGGAAAATGGGAGAGCAATTCTCCATCAGCTCCTTTATCCCATCTGTGTATGTTGGTAGATTTGTTATTTCAAAGAGAAAAATCAGTGACTGTTTCTGCTTCTGATTGTTTTTCAAAAAGTGTGGAGCTGACCAGAAAAAGTGAAGGTTGGTTGGTTGGTTTTTATCTTTTTAAACTTTCACAAAAGCTCACTCATTCCTCTTTTGGTCACCAGAATTCCAAATTTTGGTGAGGAATGCAGTTGAGCTCTTTCAGAAGATTGTTATTACATGATAGTGTGTAAGCAACTGAGCTCCACATCCAGTTCTGAATGCTGGAAAGCTGCTAAATTATTCTTACTGGTTTCTTCCCCAACTGTTTCTTTAAAATTATAATTTATCTTTAAAAAATTATTATGAATTGGCCTGATTGCTTTGTTCTTAAGTAAATATTAAAATTTTACTTGAATTTTGTTCATCTGTGGACTTTTAATGGAAAAGCATCCTTATATCCTGTGGTTTTCCTTCACAGCAATGCCAGGAGTACATGAGAGCACAAACAGTGCCTTACCCTGGTTTGCAGGCACACAGAGGAACGTGCCTGTGTGCACAGCTCTCCCTGGTGTCTAAGCCTTCTATAATGTTAGATAATTTGCAGTGCAATCCCAAACATTGGAGCAGAGGCTTTGTACAGCATCCCAATAACTTAGCAGAATCAATTGTTACTCCTCAGCGTGCTGTTTGAAACTAAAGCATTGCTTATTCCTCCATTATTGCTTCATTCAAATGATGAGATTTGTCTGCAATGATTTTCTGATTTATTCTGTTCTCTGTGCCTGCAGGCTCCATGCAAAGCAGTCTGTCTTCTTCACACAGAAACAAAAAATCCCATTTGAAAATGTCGTTCCTCTTTCTTTTTAAAGCAATGTTTTTGGGTTGTTTTTGGTTTTCCCCTCATGCATTCTTTGTGCCGTTCTGCAGGTTGCGTGCTTTGGGGACGACGTGTACTCTGCCTTCCAGAAGGCTCTGCTTGCCACAGGGTTTACATTTCCTAAGAAAGGAATTTTGATTGGAATCCAGGTGAGTCCTAAAAATCAAAGCTTAGAAAGGACCAACACAGAGAAACTCTCAAGGCTTTTGCCTTGCTTTCATTCGTGTGGCTTTATGGCTTAAATGTGTTTCTCTGAATTTCATTCTGGAGTGCAGTGTGACAGTGTGGAACAAACACCATGGAGAGATCTTTACTGGATTCAGCAAGGCTGGTCTGGTGGGTTTTCCCTCTATTTCCCTAGGGGTCTTCCTGATAGCTTCAGCTGGCAACTACAGAAGTTTGTTCTGTCACACAGAGCAACTTTCAGTGATGCCAGCAAGAGATGAAACCCTAAAATCCAAGCTCTAGTGTAGCATGGAGTCAGGGCACCTGCAGAGCCTGCATCCAAGAGGCAATCGCTTTGAGGAGGTAGAAAAACCGGAGTTTGCTGTGGGAAGCCCTTGGGGATGGCTGCAAGCCGAGACTTGGGATCAGAGAGCTCTAAGACATGTTTCTGGGGGAACAAAGGCTGTAGGTGGTCAGTTCAGAGAAACATCCCAACAGAACCCCTGTTCTGAACACCCAGAGCTTGCTCTGTGCTCCCTCCCAATGGGAGCCCTGGCCATGTTACTTTCCAATCATATGAGCTCCCTTCATCTGTGCTTTTCCTCTTGTCCTTTTCAAACCCATTCTCCTCCAAACCTCCCAAAGAGGGGGCAGTTTCCATGCTGCAAAGCTGGATCTGCTAGGCTTTCCCCATGAAGGCACAAGTGTCCTCCCAGCAGAGCTGTAGCATCACGGACAGTGCAGAAAAGCTGCTGATGTTGGGGTGTTGTGGGCTGGTTTTTGGTGTGAACTGGTGGGCTGTGTGGCCTCCTCAGGTTATGGCACTGTCACATCCCTCTCCTCACTGGAGTCACAGTGGGAATGTATTCAAGTGCAGTGGGGAAAAGGGTTAAAGGACATCAGTCTGCACCAAATCTGTGGCAATAGAAGAAATTCTCCAGGATCTTTTAATGAGAGTCAGGCTGTACTTTATTCTGGCCACATTTTTATTCTGGCTAAGTTGTGCTGTAGAAATCATTCCATCCACACTTGTGCAGGTTGTGCAGTGGAAGTCATTACAAAGTTCTTGACCAGACTTTTCACATATTTATACATAAAACCCCAATTCTCATTCATTGGTTCTACATTACACAATTCTTAGTATTCATTCTTCTATTTGTTATCGATTCCTTCACCTTCAATGCTAATCTGGTTCTTATTCTTTGGTTCTCTTATCGATCTTTTCCCAGACCAGGTGTCTCCAACCACACCAGGGGGTAATGTCTATTAATGTCCATTTATCTCCTCTGTATATTCTGGCTGCTTCCAGTCTGTAGGTGTTAAACTCTCAGAACCTAGGAATCTTCTTTTTGTTGGTTGAAGCCCATCAGGTCTCACACAGTGAAACTCAAACCCCTGGTGAAATCTTTTGAAGAGAAACCCCAGTTCCCTACCCCTTGTCAAAGGCAGACAAACCCCTGACTGAAGTTCCTTAAAAAATTTAGGAGTTGTATCATTTCCAACAAGTCTTCACCCTGCCCCCCATTTTTCTGCCATCAATCCTTTGCCTGTTTGATGTCTGTGCACAGCCAGTCTCGTTCCCTACCCTACAGTTGCTGTGAGCCAGAAAAGAAGAGCCAATGCTACATTTTAATAGTGATGTTTCTGGTTTCCACACTTTGTCAGAACTACCTCCTCAAAGGAATTGCCTCTTGGATGCAGATTCTGACTCCATGCTAGACTAGAGCTTGGATTTTAGGGTTTCATCTCTTGCTGTCATCACTGAAAGTTGCTCATTGTGGCAGAAAGTTAAAATGATGTCATTATGGGAATGCTCTCCAGTGCAATGGGTTCAGCAAAGAGCCTTTATGTGAGGAAGTTCCCCATGGGTTTTCCTTAGGAACAGCCCTGGATCAGCAAGGAGGTTGTGTGTTTCAGGATGAAAACACACAGAAAAGGAAAAAAAAAAAAATCTTTGTTCTTTATCAAGGAATAGTTACTGACTGCATAAGGTGCTGAAATCAGAGACATTTGTAAACTTTACGATGTTCCTCAAAAATTTCATGTACTTCCAATACAACTAGAACATTCTTGGGCCCCAGAAAACCATCTGATTGCATCCTGCCATTTTCACATTGAGCTTGCAATAAGCTGATGCTCTACATGATTGCATAAAGCTGATAAAACAAAACCATAGAATAGATGAATTTTCCTGTCAGACAACTGGGGTGTGAAAAATGTCTTTGGCTGTTTGTGCCAGCAGAGGATGTGAAGGAAGTGTGTGAAAAGCAGCCAGAAAGGAGCATGACTTCTGCTAACAAGGATTACTGCTGAGTCCTTAAATGTCAACATATATACACACACCTGGGCATGGAAGCAGTTGCTCTAAGTTACCTCTAATTAGCAGAAAAATTGCTTGCTACCTAGGTAAAGTTTAAAAGTTCAGTATGAAACTCTGGGCAGTTGGTACTGTATGTCTACTGTATATACTCCATATTTTAAAACAGCATTTGAAAAAGGAGAAAAGCAAATCCAGGAGGCAAAAAAAGGAGAGAGACCAGTGTTTAAAATTTAAGTGTATTTTCCAGATAGCAGCTGGAATGGGCAGAAAATAAAGTAATTTTAGCATTTATGTAAGTTCTGTGTCAGTAGCTGTTAAACTGAGCCAAATGTTCTTTGTACAAAGGTGTTAAGAAAAAAAAAGAAGGGAAAAAGAAAAGATAAAACAAAGCCCAAAGCTCAACTCCACAAACCTTTTAAAAGTAATAAGATTCTGTCTTTTTAATGAGTGGTTTACAGTTTATTTTCTTGCAAAAGAAACTTTAAAACAACAGATCAATTGCTTAAAGATCTCTCTGCATTTCAGCATATTTCTTCTATAATTAAACTCCAAATCAAGAGGCATAAAGTTGATTCTGAGAACCAGGTATTGCCCCCTCCTCAGTCTGGAAATTGTCAGCTATGTACTTTTCAATGGTCTGCTTTGAAACAGAGGGGAAATAAAGCCCTGTGGGAAGGGAAGGTTGAAATGTAGGGGTCTTTGAGTATTTGGCTGGAAAAAAGGGGAGCCCCTCTCTGCAGAAATAAAAGGCACAAGGAATGAGGCATCAGGCAGGCTGTGAACACCAGCACTTTTCTTGTTTCAGTCACAAACATGAACCCACCTGCCTTGTACAGGCATAATTGTTGGGGTATCCTCACAGGGAAACACAGCCTCAGGAGGACAGATAGCACATAGCCTCTCTCAACCATCACTGAGTGTTTTCAAATGCCAGGATGGTTTCTGCAACCTGTTCTGGTGCACAGAGCACATACACAAGCTCCTCTGGTTGTCTCTGAGGAAGATGCTGTGATTGACCTGCAGTACATGGTGAGCTCAAAGCACACCCCAATTTTGAAGGCTTCATTGCTTCATAACTAGCACCTTGCTCTGATTTTTAGGCTGGATTTTTTATGTATTGCAGAGAGAGAGAAATAAGAAGCAAAATGGTCTTGAATTCTGCTTCTCTCCAAAGCAGCTAGGCTCATATTTCAGTGATTTGGTATGCTGCACATTTATACCTTTGCTATTAATCATGTTGAGGTTAGAGGACACTGCCTTCTTGAAGGTAAAAGTCAAATGGATATAGTTAACAGGAGCAGAGAGGGAGATCTTGGTTTCCTTGCAAATGTTTCTGGGGGTGTTTTGCAAATCAAGAGTCAAATGGTACTGCTGTGATCTGGAGTCCAAACTGAGCCCAGTGTGCCCAGGCCATGACCCCACCTCGTGGGAGCTGCCAGCCTGGTGTGCAATTCCAGGGTAATCCTCCTGCTGCCATGCTGGGCTGTGGATAGCCAAGTCACCATCCCAAGGCCAGGCAGGGGAGTGCTCCTTGACATCCAGGGGACAGCACAAGGCAGGCTGGGCAGCTGGTGGGGACTGTGAGCCTGCTGGGTTGTCCTTTAGCTGAGAGCACTCAGTGACACTGCCCAGGGCAGGGATCCCCAGGATCTGAGAGGTCTGATGCTCTCCCAGGGGAGATGGAGTAAGACTTCCATGGTAGACAAATGAAACTCTGCCACTTTATGTCAGCTGATAACCTGCCTCTTCCCACAGTCTGGAGAAACCTGTGATGATGAAACCCTGAGTCAGCCATTAAATAATTTATATTTTATGCAAAAGGAGTTGAAAAGTTAGGGTTTTTTCTTTCCTGATTGGGCTATTCAGTGATATCTCTGGGATGGAGTGCATCTGTCATACACACAAGATGCAGAAAGCATTAATAGAGTATTTTATTTTTAAATTCTGGCACTCCAAGTCTGTTGTCTCAAGGTAACCTTCTGCCTTGATTCCTTACATACCAGAATTTTTGCATCCTCCACTGTGGGTTTGGATACAGAATCCAAGATTATCACAGGAGATGGGTTGGCTTCATTTTGAGCTGGATCTCGGTGAGAACTGATGCATCTGTATTGAATGAGCTAAGGATGTAGTCCTTTACAAACAGCAAGGCTTGCTAGAAAACATGAGGGTTATAAGAAATGGAACTTTTCAGATAAAGGGAAAAAAAAATGCAATTCTCCTACAATAAATACCTTCCACTAAGTAAATCTGCTTGTACTTTTCACCTTTAGTAACTAATGGTTTCTTACACAGGTTATTTCAGCCAGCTTGTAAATCTGAGGCTGCTCCAATGCGAGCTGACAGCTGTAATTTCTTTTCATAGAGAGGCTGTTTTATGTGTCACAAGTGTTCAGTACATGTTTGATAGAAGTTTATAATACTGTTGTGAAAGCCAACATCCCTGACCAGAAGGCAGAACCACTCTCTCTGACTGGGAAGCTGCCAACCCTGTCACACTGTATATTTATATTTTCCAGCTAATGTACAGAATGAGATGGCTTTCAGAATGAGTGGTCAGGAAAAAAAAAAAAAAAACAAACCAAAAACAACAAAACCAAAAAAACAAAAAAACCCTGTTTAGTCCTTTTCTTCTTAGGAAATTGTTGACCCTTCAGGATATTGCTCTCTCATCCATAAAGGTTAAGCTATCAGTATCTCCAGCAGGAACAAGGGAGCTTGTGATAATCTTACTTGCAAATGTGTGTAAGACCAGACCAGGCTAAGGTTAAAAGCAAGGTTTAGCTTGCCTTGGGAGGGAGAAGGGCGTATGTTGCATCTGATATTTGCTTTGCTGTACCTTCAACATCCCAGAGATACTTAGGCTGATACTTTCTCTCACCTGTTACTCTAAAACAGCTTATTCAAGTGCAGATGTCTACAGGAGGTGGTTGTACCTTTCTAAATTATATTGAAACTGGATATGCATTATAAGACAATCTTTCAAAGGTGCTGTAAGTCAGGCATTCAGGTCCTCATGGGAATATGGCATCCCAGTCTCCTGACTCCATTTCCATATTCCCACAGGACTTAGAAATGGACTCATACAGGCACAAGCTCTTATTTGTGTGAATGTGCAAACAGAGCACTCACAGGCAACCCAAAGCCATCCATATGTGTTATCTGCCAGAAGAGAAAGCAAATGTTTGAGCAATGATTGAAAATATATTTAATTAAGAGCTGAGGAGACTCTAGTTGGTGTATTTGAGAAGGTAATTGCCTAGATATTTAATATACAGTAGCAAATCTTTAGTGGTTGCAGTCTGACTTAGTATGGGAACACTTACTCTGGTGTAACAAAATATGTCTTATTTCAGAGTCACTTGGGCTTCAGGATCCAGACAGTTTTCTTGGGAATGGTGCTGTACATGCACATGGAGACATTTCTGTCCATGCACACACTCAGCACAGAAAGGTGTATTTGCCTCTTAGCACAGTGTGGATGAGCTTCATGTTGCCCAAAAATGTACTGTTCCAAATCCTACCTTTGGTGCTATATCTAAAAAATTTCCTTTTTTCAGGAGTCCTTCCGCCCCAGATTCCTCAGTGTAGCAGAACTGCTGCATGAGCAAGGCTTCAAGGTAGGTGGTTTCACTTAGTTAAAGCTGGGGAGCTTTCAGAATGTCAAATGTCCCCAGCCTGCTACAGGAACGTTGGAGTTCCTTTGGAGATAGAGAAAAAAGGGTGTTTTCCAGTTACAACAGGGATTTTTAGCTGAGTGATCCATAAAGTCAGCAGGTACCACCCAATTAAAAGTTTTCATGTTTGTTTAATTGAGCATATGGGTCTGTTGTGAGGGCAGGAACAACCCTGGCTCTGCTATCAGCCTGCAGCCAAGATGGGCATTATACACTCGCCCAGCTTCCCCAAGAAATAAAAATGCCAATGGGATGCCATGTATGGCAGGAGACAAGGAAGGGAACACCTTTTGTATGGAGTGTATCTGTGTAGTGCTGCATTTTCAGTGACACCCACTCAGATGCAGATACATGGACTTTGTGATGTTCACATCACTCTTGTAACCCCTCTGTATTATTTTGCATTCACATTTCTATGAAAAAGCAGCACAGCCCCAGAAGATTGGTGAGAGTACTGCTTTTCTAAACTTAGCACTAGGCATTAAAAAGAAAATAAACATGGCCAAAAAAAATTACAAGTGATTGAACTTAAGCCCTACTGAAAGTCACAGAGGTTTAGGTTTTTCTAAGCCACTTCACTGCTTCTGGAAATGCTGCTACCATTCATTGACTATCATCCATCAGGAAATCACAGATAACAAAGTTGGGAAGGTTGTTCTGTTCTCTGTGTGTCTCTCCATATGGAGAGACACCCTTTTAATGAAAAATGCCCTCCAAAATCAGCTCTGACAACAAAGCTGTGTGTTGGGTCAGGCCCACATGAGTTCAATGAAAAGTTTTGGTATTGTGAAGTACACAGTAAATATCTCTTTTTTTCCTGGACAGCTTTATGCCACAGAAGCAACCTCAGCCTGGCTCAATGCTAATGGCATCCCAGCAAATCCTGTGGCATGGCCATCACAGGAGAGCCAGAGTGCCAGCCTCCCTTCAGTCAGGAGGTAAGAGACCAACCCACCTTGTCAAACTTGTGTTTACAAACCAGGACAGCAAATGCAAGGGGAAAATTGCTGGTCCTGCTGAGATCAATGGTAGGGATTTAATGGGGCTTTGAATTAAATCCAAAAGTTTGGGTTTATCTGATGCTGTCTGGAGTTGCCACAGCAGGGAGGTTTCAGCTTAATGAGCATCTCACTGGACAGTCCTGTTTAGTATGGCTTAGATGTATTGGTCCATGTTATATTTTCATACAAAGATACATGAAATCTGAATATTTAGCCTTTTAATGACAGTCAGTCATTCCTTTAACTGAGGCATGACTGACTGTCATTAACAGGCTAAATAAACATCTCAGTTGTGCTGAGCTGTATCAAGGCTGAATATTGCTTTGCATTGCTGACTAAAACTGAAATAAATCCAAAATCCTGACTAAAGCTTAGTGCCTTAACCCCTCAGCCCTTGTTTCTTGAGCAATGACTAAGCTCAAATGACATTTTTCAATGTTGTTTAGCTGCTTGCCTGTGCTATTAATTTGAGGTTTTTATTAGGAAGGACACATTGTCACACTGTCTTGTGCATTGTCTCTTCAGGCTGCTGAGGGATGGGAAAGTAGATCTGGTGATTAACCTGCCCAACAGCAACACCCGGTTTGTCCATGATAATTATGTGATCCGGAGAATGGCCATTGACAGTGGCACTGCTCTGCTCACTAACTTAAAGGTATTGTTCTTTCTCCTCTTACACATAAGAGCCTTCAGAGCTTCCAAGCCCTTGTGAGTGTAGATTCAATTCTGTTTGGACCCTCATTATCTCTGACAAATAATGTGTCTGAAAATCATGGCAACACAGTGATTTAACTATATCTTCTTTTTGCCGCTATACAAAATGACATTGCTCTGAGTAAAACAAAACCCAGCCAAATCAAATCAAACAAACAAAAAAAATCTGAAGTCCTGAGTCTTGCACTGTGCAGCTGAAATTGTTGCTGCATCATTTTCACTTCAGAGCAAACATCTCAGGGTCGCATGCAACATCTCCAAATTAGGCATGGGAAGGTGCTTTTTAGTGGAATATTATCCTGGTATGCTCCTTAAACCTTACAGCAGGATGTAGCTGTGCTTTCTTGAATGACCCTTGGGGCAGTCCAGTTCAGAAGTGCCATCCAAGTGGAATTGCTCCCTGTCCTGTTGTAGTCCCAGCTGCCAGTCACTCTGGGTTTGTGGCTCCTGACAAAGCCCTTCACACACTGGTGGGGAACAGACATTAGGTGATGCAAAGTGGGACTCCTGCTGCCAGCAGTGCCCTGCCTTCCTTTGCAAGTGGCTTTGACTGTCACCAAAGAGCCTCATCTGGTGCTCATTAAGCACAGCAGCCAAACTCCCACTGCTTTTGGTGGGCACTGACATGGAACCCAGTGCCTTGAACTGGTGTCCAGCTGCTCAAAGTCTTCTGCTGTGACTGGAGTGAGTGCAGGCAGGGAGAATGACAAGCTGAGGGTTCACAGGATGATGGCTAGACATGATTAGCAGGAATGGGGAATTGAAGATGCATCATTGCCTACTAGCAAAACACCTTCTGACAACCACAATTAGGGTCCCCAGAAAAAATTTATTACCACACCTGCTCAATGCCTTTCACTGAACTGTTTGGATTGTAGGGTTTTAATCTCTGAGTTTGAGAAAGGAAAATGACCCTGGTTCTCTTTACATTTGGGCTGTAAACAACAGCTCTCATGGGACAGAGCTGTCTTGCAAAGGAAGCCTGGGCACATCTACATCTCTGCAGCTGGACACACAGGCTCCAGAGGGCTGGAGTCAGCTCCTGTGCCCAGCCACCTTGAAATTGGTATTGATTTGGATGAGCTCAAGGACTGAACCTGCACCAGGAAGTTTCAGGGTGGCAGAGCAGAAGTGTGGAGCCTGCTCTGTCATGCAGCCTTTGCAATGCTCAGTCCTCCTCTGCTTTGTATTGACAGGTGACAAAGCTTTTTGCTGAAGCTCTCAAATACTCTGGAAAATTGGACTCCAGGAGTCTCTTCCACTACAGACAGACTGACAATGGGAACACTGCATAGAACTCTCTCCAGCCTGCAATCTTACTGCTCCTGGTGCCTCAAAAGAGAGCAGATTTCAGACCATCCACCTAACCATCTTTCCATGTATTTTGCTTTTGTTTGGTCTTTTTCAGCCTGCAGATTTGATGGGAGAAAAAGGCTGCATGTGCATGTCCTAGAATTGCTTCCAAGTTCTGCTCAGTCCTTCAGGCTATTGCCATTGCTATTTTTTACATTCTCATTCAATATTGTGAATTCAGGTGGCTCTCCCTATATCATAAAGACTCTCTCAGCCTTGCTTCTGCCTTCAAAAGGGGAGAACTCCCCAAAGACTTTCCACATATTGCTGTCCAATGCTTTGTGCCATGATTGTGGGCATTAAAATCAAATCCTTTGAAAATGAAGTGAAAGTGTTGCAGTGCTTTACCCTCTCCCAGTTAAATGACCCTTTCATTTCCATTCCACCTTCTCTGCTGCTTTTTCAGCTCTGGCAGCACCTCCAGCTGCTGTCTGTGGAGCAGATCCCTGCTGTAGCAGCTGGGTTGTGTTATCCTTGGCTGTCTGCAGGGCAGAAGACCTCAGCAGCTCTGTGGCCAGCAGCACATGCAGTGCCTTCTCTAAGCCTGGACCAGCTAAGGAACACACATCTGGCTTGCTTGGTCTGCAGTGTGTACACAGCACACCCAGGAGCTGGGAGTATTCAAAGCTGGACAACTTCTCTGATACTTGCTAGAGTAAGCTGAAGTGGAATGTTTTCTTCCAGCCACACTCTGCCTGCCTGGAATTCCGAATCCAAGGCACTGCTAGCCTTAGGTACCTACCTCTAACATATCCCTCAATGCCTGCAGGCCCTGCCAAGAAATGGTGCTGGATATCTGGTGGTGGAGCTGGCTACCACCTAGCAGTGCTTTTTGAAGCTATCAGCACTGCAAATAGTGCACTGAGGGTGATGTGGATGAGATGAACAAACCTGGGCTGCTTCTTGTGTGCTCCCAAGTTCCCTTGAGTCCCAAGAAGCTTTGAGTGTGGAGAGAATCAGGGTGAAGAGGTTTTCTGTTTGTTTTTTATTAATTAATGCTGAAACATATCAGGAATGATATAAAATCTGATGAGAGCTGTTACTGATATGAGCAAAGGTATGAGCAGAGTCTGTGATGCCTTTGGTTACCATGGGACTCTGAACACTAGGTGTCAACTGCCAAGACCAATTTTTGAGTCAGACTTTATTTCTAGTTGCCATCCCAAGTGCTCTTTTCATGATATTTCTTCAGTACTATATTTTGTGATGAACACAACCCTGCCTGCTGTGCACAGGGAGAGCTTTGCACTTTTAGAGTAGAGATGTTATTAGAAAAACTCACAACAACAAAAACCCCCAAACCAACCAAAGCTCCAGAAGAGCCCAAAGGCATCAATTGTTCACCCATTCAGTTGTGAAATGGGTGACTAATGGTGGTTAATGAAGCAGCACTCCACAGGCAACCTGTGCATATTTTTTCAGTGGCAAAATCCCATTAACAGCTGGTGTCATCTTGCATCCACCCACCCTTTCTCCTCTAGTAGAGAAAAAAGCAATATCTTAAAACATCTGTATTCTCTTGTTCTTCTTTTATTTTGTCACTCACCTTATGAGTTGAAAATGAAATAAACGCCTGGATTGTGAAAGCTACTCATTCTTAAATTCTGCCTGGCCAGGATTCTGCCCTTCTTTTTTTTTTTTAAGTCTTCTTTTTAAAGCATTGATGAGCACTGGTCTGTTAGGAAACCATCATTCTTACATGTGACAGTGACCACATCATTTAGTGCAGAGCTGCTGAAATGCCTCAGAGGTGAGGAGGTGCTGGGAAAAGAGCAGGAGGACAATGACTCCAGCTGTGTGTGTTCAAGAGAAGGGAGAAGCCCTGATCCCCTAGACAGACCTGTGAAGTGCAAGTGAGGAGACAGAGCATAGAGCAGTGGGCTAAATATTGGAGAGATGGGAACTTTTATAAAGGGGCTGCCAGTTCTGGAAAGATAGGAAAACTTTGCTATTAATTCAGCTCTGTTAACCAGTGTTCCTGTGCCAGTTAGCTGACAGTGTGGCTGTATCTGTGTGTACTTGTACATACATTCCTGCTGCTGCAGCAGCTGCAGGTACTTAATCCTCAGCTCCTTTGGTGTCCATACAATTGGAGTGGAATCCTGTAGAAAAACACACCAGGGCTGAATGCACTCTGAGTGCTCTGCAATTATGCAGCAGTGTTAATGTTTTGCTGCTGGTGATAAACTGGGCCCTTTCCCCCCTTCTGTACACACACAATCCCCTTTGTTGCCTTTGCTCCATCTCCTTTTGGTGTCTCCTCCCCTCCCTCCCCATTGCTCTGATGAAACTCCAACTTCTGTCATGGTCAGAAGGAGTCAAGAAATCATCCTCCAGCTTACTTCAGGCTGACAGTGGTGCTTGGCTGAATTTTTTTCTTGATATGCCTTTCTTTTTTTGTGTGGACACTATAGGAAAAGATTTTTAAGTATCTACAGCTGTTGGGATCAAGCAGAGCTAAAAAAAAGTTACAATTAGTATCCTTTTTACCAAGCTCATCTCTGCTCTCAACAGATTCTCTCTTACAAATGTCTTTTTCTTATTAATCTTGGGGAGGTTGACAATGACAGATGAAATAGGAGGCTGTTCAGAGTTAAGAAATATCCTAATCTACGAGCACTCAAATAATTTTACTCTTTTTTACTGTCTTAAAAGAGAGCTGATAAAAGAGATTCATGAAGGTATAAGAGACAGTACAAAGCACAACTTTTGAGATAAGCACAAGAAATGGTGACAAGAGCCGTGATGAAATATGAAGGGAACTAATTTTTAGGAACAGTGGGTTTTTTTTTTTTCTCAGTAGTCACTCTGCTGAGCACACTTCGGAGGATAGCTCTCCAAGTGTGCTGAATGATGGGAAGCTCTGGAGGCTTGATTTCCCAGGAGACACTGTTGAATATTGAAGTCAGGATCTTTCTCCAGTTGATCCCCTTCCTGGCTTTACTCTTCTGAAGTGAGCACCCTTCAAAACCCTTGGGGATTGCTCAGGCAGCCCCTGCACAGGTTAGTAGCAGGGCAGGGATAGTTTGGCTTGGTGAAAGCAAAAAGAAAAGAATGTAAGAGATTGGACAATTTAGCACTACCTCTTTCTACTTTCCTGATAGAGCTCTTTAAACACAGCAAGATGAAAGTGTGTTCTTTATATAAATAAAAGAAAAAATATTTTGATAAACTTTAGGAAACCTCTTTGCTCTGAAGCCATTTAAAACAGTCAAAGTCAGGTTTGTGACAGTCCTAGGAATCAATCAAGTAGAAATTACTCCATGATCTGAAAGAGCTCTTGGCAGTGAGCAGAGAAATGAGTCTTGCTTGACTTGCAGGTTGCTGGATTTCCTGGACTGGATGTTGCCGCCAGCCTTTAAGGCATATTCTTTTCCTTCCCCCACACACCATGTATATTTTGCACTTTCAAGGTTTAAAAATCTATTTGTGCTTGCATCAGAGGTATCTAGGAGTCTGTCTGAGAGCTCAGCACCTCTGCATCTTTGTAATAAAGGGATCTATAAAGGCAGGGAAGGATTGGGAGTCATCACAGTACCAAGACCCACAAGTGCAGCATGTGCACACCTGCTGCCTGTATCCCAGTCTGATGCCAACAAACACTGGCAGGAGGGTGGGCTCATGCCACAGCCCACCTGAGGTGGTAAATAGAGAGGACCTCTGGCTCCTTCTGTTCACAGTGTTTCTAACTCCAAGCCATAGTCAGAGCAGCCTGGGCCTTGGGAAGCTTCCACCACGAGGTGCTGCTGCCATCTCTGCACGGGCAGGAGGTGCTGCCATGCCATGTGAAGCATATGAACACTACTGCATTAGCCATCTGCAGGACATGGAAATCTGCTCTGCTACACCAGTCAGCTGCCAAACAGTTCCCAAACCCTCTGTTTGTCTTCCTTCTGCATCCCTATGTCTGCCACTGCATGGTGTAATTTATAAGGAATAATCTAGTTATGCTGTAACATTTGTTTCACCTTTACATTGAAGAGAATTTAAATATGAACCTTTTGATGTGGCCTAATTAAATGGAGAACATTTTGTCATTATCTAGGAAGGCTCAACTCTCACTCATCCTCATAATTAAAATATATTGAATTCTGCAGGCTGATAGTACCACTTGAGATAAACCCTTTTAATTTAGGGAAGTTTGTAATGATGAAACTGAAAGACAAAAGCATTTGTTGCAAATCATGTTCAAGCTTTATGATAATGAACTTTGGGGAAACAATGAATAATTGCTGGGGAGTAATGCTAGTGCTTTGGGATTACCGTAATCTTGGATGAATGCTCTGGATTGTCTCAAACAATATCCAAGGGTGGGCAAGTGCAGCTGTTTTGCAAGGAACTGCAAGAGTGCCAAGGGTTTGTAGTTCTGTCAGAATTCATCCTTCCAGGGAACGTTTCCTGTTATTAAAGGCCAGTTTTTTACTTGTATACCATGAAGTTTCTTATGGTTATGGGATTTTGGTAGTCTCTGTGGAGCTGCTTGCACTAGTGCAAAGCCAGCATAATGCTGCTGTGCTGATTTCACACCACTTTTAGCCTCTGGGGTAAATGATCACCCAAGATATTCACATGGAGAATCAGGTGCCTTTTCAGGAAAAATATTTGCTCTTCCAGCTTTAGATGATGTTGTTCTTTTTTCTGACTTCCTGAGCATTACTAAATGCTGCCAAGCTCTTCTCCTTCAAGATCTCTTCTACTAATGAGACCTCATTCTAGTTTAAAGTGTCCCTCTGCTACTCACTGTCTTTGAGAGGCATTACAATCCATCTCCTTCTGACAGAAGCACTGGCAACAACTCTTAGAAAAGTGGGTTATGTTCTGACTAAGCATCACAGGGCAGAGGCTGAAGTATTTGCTGCCTGTCAGGATTCATAGGAGACAAAATGGTGGAGGTGAAGTGGTCAAAATGTGACCTTTGCTGAAGGTCAAACCTGAGCCTTTAGCCAAATTTTGAATTCATTGATGTGGCCAGCTGAAAGGACATAAATAGGACAATATCTCAAGTGTTCTTACTGCCAGCAGGTCTGACTTCCTAGTATATCCTGAAACAGACATTGAGATTTTTTTAGTGCTCTTCCTAGAGCTATAAAGATGCCAGAATTTATCTGGTTTGCGGCTTAGCTCATTTGGTTCCCCAAGCACCTGGTGCCTCAAGAGCAGTGCTGTGTGAGGAGCATCCCTGTGCAGTTTTCATACAGAAAACAAAGCATGGCTGTGAGCTTAGCAGGGTAAGCAAAGTGCTGCCATGGTGCTGAGGAAGAGGTGTATGCCTGTGTTATCCTAGACACCAGTGATACACA